ATCCATAGAACGTCGAACAAGCACCGGCCATGGAAAAAGAGCCAGACGAGGAAGGAAAAACCTAACCTAAAAAACGCAAAATAACCAAAAAGATCATTAAAACATTTTAAAATATTGTAAAACAATGCGGAACAAGAAACGAAATTAGAAACAAAATCTGCAACGCCGAGGTCACGGCAAGCACAAATAACTTCTCTCCTGTGACTATTAACATTAACTAAAAGAAAACGATAACAATAACAAAAAGGAAAACAAACAATTACATCACCATCTCTATCAATACGACATAGGAAAACAAAACGATGAAAAGAACAAATGAAACGATAGGAAAACGAACATAACCTACAAAATAAAACGGAGAAATAATAACAATTATACGAATAAAAACGTAACAACAACACGGAAAATTACAGACCAGACAACCGGAACAACACGAAGCATTAACAAACGATAGGAAAGGAGATCACAGCAAAAAGAGAGACAAATATATATATACATATAAAAACTTTCATTTGATTTATACAAAGATCAAACTAGAAATTAAGACCAGATATTAATCAACGAGTAAACATAAGTCTAGAAATAAGGAAAAAACTCTCTTTTCACCTTTTATAGAATATATATAGAAAAACGTAAGAATTTAAATTACAATCTAACCTTTTCTTTTAGAAACATAACGAATAAACGGCCGCATAAAGGCAGAAATTACCACGAGATATTGACAGAAACACGGTAAACATATTCACGAACATTAGATTAATTAAATAACTAGTCCATAAATGTATATATATATATATATAAAAGATTAAATAACAACAACACGAAACCGATGTAAATACAGAACGAGCGAAAATGGAATACTACCAAACAACAAAATTATAAACTACAAGACGAAACAAGAGATTTATTCAACAAACCACCCATCCATTTATTAATAGAGGCTACGCAGGAACTCGCCTGCCTCACGACAATATAAAGACATAAAAACACATCCATTTATTAAGAAATATTCAGTAGAAACAGGAAAGGTGAAATCACCACTCACACACTGAAATGAAATATAAGACACAAGAACACGCCACTACTATCACAAAGAACAGACAAACAATTGAGACGAGACAGAGTAATAAAAAACTTTTTCACACAAGAATTGAGGAATGACGATATATAGAAAACACTGAAATCAGACTGAATCACGTACGTACACACACAAAACATTCATATCAAAAGACAGATATAACATTAGAATTTACAATCGAAATTACTCACCCTCTCTCTTATTTTTGCTTCACACAAAAAAGAGGAAAACAGATCAATCGGCAAACTAGGAAAGAATAAAGACAAAAAGAACAGAAATTATCGTCCTTCTCCTACAATGTACGACTATAAGAAACCGACAATACCGACAACACGGTGATCACAACCACTGACAACAAGACTAACGGTTCAACAAGTAGAAACCGCCAATGTACAAACGATGAAAAACCAGACTAGCAGAAATATCTACAGAAAAACGAAAGAACAAACCGAAGCAAAGGAAAATGAAACACAAAAGGTCAGTTAATACAGTAAATAATTAAAGATAAATAGAAGCTCACCTATCTATTAAGATTTTTAAGCATCAATCTAGAAAGCATAGGAAATACAAAGAACAACAGCATAGCTAAAGTCGATAACGAAGGAATAACCCCGAACCCTCGACCCGGGATAACAACGAAAGATAAAAGAAACATCCGGGTAAAATTTACAAATAAAGAAATAAAAGACATGTTACTAATATAATTTCTCTTTACAATTCGAGACACAGATGAAACATAAAACGAACGCACGAAAGTGGAAAATACAGACGGAAAAACTGCAGGAGCAAAGAAAACACACGGAAAACCAAACGTCTAAAAAAGCGACGGACGCATACCGACCGCAGAGAACATGAATCAGACAAGGAGAAACGAAACACGGAACAGAAAAGGACGAAAGATCGGAACGCCACGCCACAACGACACAGAGTAAGAGTATACATTTCTTTTACATGCAGAAACACTATCAATGAAATTACAACCGAACACGATCATACGCTATTTTTCCAACAATACAAACTCGACAGAACTGTCACTCTAAAAAAAAAAAAAAACCGAACTTTTACTGATAATAGATATCAATGAAAAATTTTCCTTTTCATCTTCTTACCATTCATGGTCAGTTAAAAGATTAAAACTGTAAGAAAAATCTCTCCTCTCAATCACCAGTATGAAACAACGCTAAAAGAACTTTTGACAATACAAGGAACTAACGAAATCATGTAAAAATTGCAAATGACATAAAAATACCGGAAAAATTCCTGTGTCACGATTAAGGATAAGCAACGTATCTCACAACGAACTAACGATCGAAAAAACCGACCGAAAAACGCGAAACAGAAAACAACACAATAATCATACAACGAATTGACAACGACAAAAACAAAAAAATAAAATCGAACAAACCTACATACACTTGTTAAACCGGAAAACTCTATAAATAAGAAAAGGAACGTTGTTTATCCTCAACCGACAAAGATACAGGAATAACGAACAAACCCACCCGAACAAAATAAGAATAACAAAAACTATCAAAGACAAACACAACTATACGTCACATGATTACAAAAAATCGCCTCGACATTCAGGCACCTATGATGGATAACCAAACGTATAACACTTTTTAAAAAATATATAAGATATTACCGTCAATACATACACGATGTTTTATTCACATGCATGACCACGGCAACCTGAGGGACCGAGATACCACGAATCCACACAGAATATAAAAATATGACAAACAAAACATCAAACGAGGAACAAACAATAAGAAATAAATGGAAAGAAACGGAACCGCAGTAAGCCAGGAAAACACGAGGAAACCACACGAAAGGAAAACGAAACGAGAAAGGTCAACCCTAGGAAATAAAACGGTAAAAAAGTTTTTTCAACTAACTCTTTATTTTTAATGTTCAAAGCAATGTTACAAAATATAAAGCATTAAGATCGAATATGAATAAAAAATAATCCTGACCTCCTGGTCAGGACGCGAGCAAAAAGCAGGCAAACGACCAGTCGAACCTGAAAAAGAAAAATCAAAAAATAAAGATTAGACAAAAACGTTAACTCGATACTATTATGGTTGTTTATTTTTCATGAACGGAATACAGACACAGCAGAGAACATACCTACCGAAGCGAAAACATTACCAGCAGCGATACCATTGAAAATGAACCGACCCACGGGAAAAGGAAACGTCGATAACACAGGACGCACACCAGTCACGAAGAATAAGACTCGAACCGAGGGGAACACAACCTGAAAACAGACGGAAACCTTTAAACATTAGAATACAAAGACAAAACGTAGAGGTTAAAAGAATCTAGAATAGGACAATAATAAAAAGTGGCCAGTATCGTTTCGGTTATAAGCGGTCATAAACACTAGCGATGCTTCAAAAGCAATTAGTAGTTGAAAATCGACAAACAAGCCAGCAAACAAAGGGGAGAAAACAGGCGACGCCGACCCACCACTCGCCAATTAAAAAACTAACTAATAATAATAATTAAAAACCTACCGGTTTAGACATGATAACGAACAGGACGAAACCGTTCAAAGAAACAGAATCAAACAATCGACACAATTATAACAGAAACGATACAGCCAAGCGCAATCGCAGGAACAAAAATTATAAGAACGACAATCGAAATAACTACGACATATTTGTAGAAAATTCAAACCGAAAACGACGATTAACTCAAAACGAACAACAAACCCGACAAAATCACACCGAAACAACACTATAAACGAACTATAACATTTAAGAAAGAAAAACAGACACACGTTAATGTCACACGAAACGCATAGACAACAACTATCGCACGATTAAACGTACATAACGACACATAAACGAACAAAGGTCAAAAGACCAGAATCCGACACGAAACACTACCGAACATGTAAACGCGATAAAGCCACAACGACTGGCCTAGAACAATCCAATCGAACGCACAACCAACGAGGTTACTATAGACAAACGCAAACAATTAGACTTATAAAAAAAAGAACAGTACAAGAAACATTGCAAAAATACGCGTAGCATGAAACGAAACAGAATATCGCATCCAAATAGACAATAAAACTTTTTCTCTATAAGATAATACAAGTTAGCGAAACATCAACACGAATACGAACAAATTAACCAGAAACAAAAATCGAATACCTCCATAACAAAAGAGATAACACGCAAAAAGGCCAACACCACGAAGCGTATCACGAATAACGGGCCCGTCGACGTAACGTCGATCAACAACGAAATCGACAAACTCGAATTATTACCTCTAATAAAAAATACGGAAACAAGCGACACAAACGTAAAACTACAATGTAGAATATGACCTCAAGCGGGAGGATCGAACAACGAAACGTTAAAAATGTAGCGATAAACAAAACGAATGTAAGACAATAGACTAAGAAACGGAAAACGACCAAATTGTAAAAAAGTCGGAACGCAAAAAGTAGACATTCAACGTGTAAAAACCGGCAAAGTATACCGGTAAAAACCTGTAAACGCGCATATATAAACGACGACACGAATTCATAAGAACCAAGACTGTAACGAAATTGTACGTACATTGATAATCGACACACTACAAACGTTGTAGGAAGAAAATGTAAAAAGCCGCTAAACCAGAACAAGAAACAAACAATGTAACAACCAGCGAACCAACACACGATAATGAATAATGTAAACGACTTATAGAGATACAAAAGTAAACGACACGATGACTATAAACTATAAAGAACACGTCCTCCGCCGAGGCACTGACACAATAAAGACAAATATTCAGAAAGCTACGAAACTATGTAAATTACAAAACGAAAAACACCGAAAACGAGAAGAAACGACTGTAAAATAAATCTTTTTAGAACATGTAAGGAAAGACAAATTTATAAAGCGACAAAGACAAATGTAGAATACACTCCTATGTAACGAAGTAAAATCACGAAATTATAAAAACCCATACTGAGAATAAAAATTGTATAATTATTGAAAAACCGACCAAACCGATATCCCTGAGTACAACAACAAAAATCCTACCGATACAAATCTACAAGCTCCACCAGCATGAAACAATGTTAAACGAAAAACAGAAAAACAATAAACATAACAGTTTTCAAGAACCTCGACCACACAAATATAAACATAAAAGAAAATCAACAACGACAATGCCTGAAATAAAAAAAGACAAAGACCGTATAAAACAGACAGAACAATCCCTCCCCCATGAAAGAGCTTCCGAAAAATTAACAACAATTACAAAAATCAACCGAAACGATTTGAAAAAATTAAAAAACAACGAATCAAAACAGAATCCACAGGATAACCTGAAAAACTAACTAACATTAAGAATAAAACCAACGCGAAAACAAAAAAGAAATCCGAAAAGACAAAATAACAAAGAAAGATGAGGTGTAAAAACGGTCTCGGATCGTCAGGGGCATGCCGGCCAGAAAAAGAAAAAAAAAATAGGAGATCGCAGAAAAGTCAATAACGACATCTAGGCAATAAAAGAGAAAATTAGAAAGAACGAAATTACAACATTTCAAACACACAGGAGAGTAATGCATATAAAAAGGACAAATAGAAACACGATAAACCGCCTGAAAATGAAAAAAAAAAAGAGATAACCAAAAAACTACAAAAGACGAAAACACGTCCTCGCGACAAAACCGATAACGAAAAACAAGATAGACTGAAAATAAATTATACAGTAAAAACCCCTGAAACGCTGTAGCGGAGACGTGTCCACGGGACGAGGTTGTTTCACACGACCTAAAAGTATCTCGGAATAAATCACACCGAAAAAACCCCCGAAACGCTGTAGCGGAGACGTGTCCACGGGACGAGGTTGTTTCACACGACCTAAAAGTTATTTAAAAAACGACAAAACAGCATACCCAAAGCATAATCAGGACGCTTTAGCGACCGTGGGAACGTCTGCCGCGGACGATTCTCGCTTTACGCGACTGTCCGCCGACGTCGCGAAGACGAGGGCCGGCGTCGCGGCGTCCTTGGGAGTCGCGGGGTCACGGCCTGATGTAGACTTGGACGTTCTCTCCTACGCGGGAGAACGGACTCGTTGAAGTTCGGCCCCAACCCCGTCGGCGACCTTGAACGTCGCGAGGTCACAGTCGGATGTAGACTTGGACGCTCTCTCCTACGCGTTAGAGCGGACTCGTTGAAGTTCGACCTCGGCCCCGTCGACGCGACGTCGGTCAATTTATTGATATAAAGAAAGGACGGGAACAGGTGACACGCAGGAGGTCGACTCGGGGGTAACTAAAAATTAGCATATCCCTCCTGTTCCGAATGCCCCCCCCCCCCCCCACATTTTCAGGGCACCTGGGTGTGTCGGCGGCGTCGGAGATGCAAGATCGGGACTGTAAAAATCCCCTTGATGGAGACTTGGACGTGACACCCGATTTTTATTATTTACGCGCATCTTTACTTACTGTCACGGACTCGTCGAAGTAAGGGTCGTCCCGTGATTCATCCGAGACGTACAAACCGCGATGAACTCTTGGAGCCTTAGCGTCAGGCGGGCTACTCGAGGAAGTTGCGGCCGTCGGCCGGTCAGGAGCCTTTCATCTTTTCACACGGGGACGCGATCTACATACG